GTAAGGATTGAAGCCCCCCCCCCCCCGTCAAACACTAAGCCCTCCAGAGCTCTTACTTAGAGTTGTGCCGGCTCTATTTGTAGGAGATGTTTGGCTTTAAAAAAAGAAATGAAACTTTTTATTTAATTCGTTCCGTTGATTTCCCTAACCAGCAGCAGCAGCAGCAGCAAGAGCACCAGCAGCAGTGGGATTGCTGCTGCAGGGGGGGCAGGGGAGGCGCCTCCAGATAAACAGGCGGGTTAAGTGGGAAAGAAGCGTCTTTCCTGCTCCGTTTGAGTTTTATTCTGAAAACATATTTAAATAAAAATAAAATACACTAAAGGTTGCTGCGTGTTGTTGCTGCTTGCCCTGCAGAGTGTTGCTGCTGCAGCACAGAGAGCAGCGGCTTCCACGGTTGCGCCATGGCCCCAGGCTGCTGCCGCTCCTGCAGCAGCAGCAGCAGCAGCAGCAGCAGCAGGGCAAGGATGTATTTTTGAGGTGATTCTCGGGCTGTTAGAATGAGTTGATTGTTTTTTTAGTGTATGTTTTTGTTGGGAGCTTGTGATGAGGGGGCGGTTTGCTGTTGCTGCTGCTGCATTTTGTGGTTGCTGCTGGCGAACGCGAGCAAATGTTGCTGCAGCAGCAGCTGTTGCTGCAGCGGTATGAATGACAGAGTGCAGTTAGCAAAGAGTATGAAGGGAGGTTTAATTGGCTTTGTTATTACGATGTATAATCTTAGATCTATTAATTATTTGTTCTCTTAATAGCCTCAAAGATGCACCGGCCCACCTCTCTAACAGAGGCAGAGAGGCGCTGTATGATTCTGTGCCACGAGCAAGGGGCTTCCATTCGGCAGATCTCTCGGCTCATTGCAAGATCTCGTTCTTCAGTCCAGCGCGTCATTCACAAGCACATAGGTACGCCAAGTCTTGCTGCTGCTGCTGCTCCTGCTGCCCTTGCTGGTGCTGCCGCAGGTGCTCCTCCCCCTGCTGCTGCTGCTGATCCACGTCTTGATGCTGTTAGCGTTACTTTTGCTAGTTTTGCTGCTGCTGGATCAATTCATGTTGCGTCTCTGTCTACTTCTGTTGGGCCTGCTGCTGTTGGGCTTGCTTCTGTGGCTCCTCTTGCCGGTGCTGCTGCTGCTGCTGCTGCTGCTGAGGTTGCTGCTCCTCGCGCTCCCGTCGCTCCCAGGCACGCATACGGATGGCACAGGGGTTGTTGTTGCTTAAGCCGCAGCAACTACTGCTGCAGGGCCTGCTGGAGGTTTGTTTCAGGGCTTGCTGCTGCGCCGAGGAAGCATCAACGCCTCGCCAACCCTGTGGCTGCTGTTGCTGTTGCTGCTGTGTATGTGCTGCAGCTCTCAAGCTCTTAGCGTCCGCTGATCCCTCGTCTCGAGTTGGATCCGCCTTAGCGGGCGACGAGCCTCCCGCGGAGGCCCCACAGCAGCAGCAGCAGCAGCAGCAGCAGCAGCAGTACCTGCCGCAGCACCTGCTCCAGCCGCTTCAGCAGCAGCAGCTGCAGCAGCAGCAGCGCCAGCATATTGGGACCCCCGCCAGGAACCCTTCAACTTCAGAACTTGCAGTTGCAGTGGCTGCGCTGCTGCGCGAGCAGCAGCGTCAGCAACAGCAACAGCAGCAGCAGCAGCAGCAGCTGCTACAGCAGCACCCGCTCCAGCTGCTGCAGCCTCAGGATGATAGCGCGACAGCTGTGGGCAAAGGCCTGCATCAGCAGCTGCACGATCAGCTGCAGCAGCAGCTGCAGCAGCAGCTGCAGCAGCAGTTGCAGCAGCAGATAGAGCACCCACCACCGGGGCTTGGGCCTTCAAACCAGGGATCGGTAGACACGGCAGCGGCGTCTGCTGCTGCTGCAGCAGCAGCAGAAGCAGCCAGCTGCTTAGGGCCCCGCGATGACCCTCTGCTACCACCAGCAGCATTAGACGAGTGCACGGGATTGGGAGAGCAGCAGCTGCTGCCGCAGCAGCAGCTGCTGCTGCAGCCATCCTTGCTGCCGCAGCAAGAAGACACGTGCTGCAGCAAGGCTGGCAGCAACAGCAGCAAGAGCAGCAAGACGAGCGGCGGTAGCAGTAGCAAGAGCAGCAAGAGCAGCAGCAAGAGCAGCAACAGCAGCAACAGCAGCAACATCAGCAACAGCACAAACGGCAGCTGGTGTTCTGGCTCAACGTATAGAGGGGATGCTGCTGCTGCTGCTTGGATTTCCTCTGCAGCAGAAGCTCTTCCTGCTGCAGACGCCCTCACCACTGGTGACGGTGGTGCTGCTGCAACTGCTGTTGCTGCTGCTGCTGCCGGCCTGTCAAAGCTCTCTCTTTTGGAGGGGAGGAACGGTGCTGCTGGAACAGCAGCAGCAACAGCTGCTGCCGTTGGTGCTTCCAGCGCCAGCACCAGCACCACCTCCAGCAGCAGCAGCAGCCATCATCATCAACAGCAGCAACAGCAGCAACAGCAGCAACAGCAGCAGCTAGATAGCGTTTCTCGCTCTCTAGGTCAAACAGACCCCACAGCAACTCCGATAAGCAAGCCTCTGGCGACGCAGCGCCAACGACAGCAGCAGCAGCAACAGAAGCAGCAGCAGCAACAGCAGCAGCAGCAGCCGGGGCAGGCACTCGATAGATTGCTGCTACCTCTCCTGCAGCAGCAGCAGCAGCAGCAACAAGCGCAGCAGCGCCTGCATGGAAACGACTTCCCGCATGGAAGTTTAGAACAGCGTTGCTTCTCTTTGCTGCAGGACCTACAGCAGCAGCAGCAACAGCAGCAGCAGCAGCCGCCGCTGCTGCAGCATCCTTGGAGTGGTCTGTTGCTGCAGCAGCAACAGCAACAGGAAGAGCAATCCTTGCTGCTGCCGCCGACGACGTATATGCAGCGTGAGCCGCAGCAGGGAGCTGCACCAGCTGCAGCAGCAAGCAACCATCAGGTGGGTAACGGGTACAAGAACTCCTGGCAGCAGCAGCAGCTGCTGCAGCAGCAGCTACTGCAGCAGCAGTTGCTGCAGCAGCAGCTGCAAGAGCAACAGGAGTCGCAGCAACGGATCAGTGGTCCTCAGCAGCAGATGTTTGGAGCAGCTTTAAATTCATTGGGCTGCCCATCTCTGCCTTCGCACGGCACAGCAGCAGCAGCAGCAGCAGCAGGAGGGTTGGGTCCCGCCTGGACCCCAAGGCAGCAGCAGCTGCAGGTGCTGCGGCAGCAGCTGCTGCAGCAGCAATTGCAGCGGCAGCTACAGCAGCAGCAGCAGCAGCAGCACCTGCAGCATCGGCAGCAGCTGCCGCAGCAGCGGCAGCAGCTGCAGCAACGGAAGCAGGTGCTGCCTAAGCGACAGCAGCAGCAGCAGCAGCTGCAGCAGCTGCAGCAGCAGTGCCCGCCTTACCCTGAAGACTGCTCTTCGTTGCCGCTTATGAGTGCCTTTCCCTCTAGTAGCCCTGAGAAGGCCCCATTGTATGATCGTCTGCTGCAGCAGCAGCAGCAGCAGCAGCAACTGAGCTGCGCCGTTTTCGATTCGGCAGCTGAGCAGCAGCAGCAGCAGCAGCTGCTAGTTGCGGGAGGTTCTAGCTTCAGCAGCAAGGCAGCACCGACAGTGCAGCCGCTGCTGCAGGAGCCATTGAGCTCGCTTTGGGGGGGATCAGAAGCAAGCAGCATTAGCAGCAGCAACAGCAGCAGCAGCAGCAGCACCGCTAGCACCGGCAGCAGCGGCTGCGTTGCTTGGGCTTGTGCTCCTTTGGGGGCCCCCAGCGGAGGCCCTAACAATCTCCCTCTGCTTCCGTCTCCTTTCGTTGCAGTTGCTGCTGCACCCGCAGATGGAGCAGCAGCTTCTGGAGTGCAGCAACCGCAGCAACAGCAGCAACAGCAGCAACAGCAGCAACAGCAGCAGCAACAGCAGCAGCAGCAGCAGAGTCCTGAGTACTCACGGTGGGCGCTGCAGCGCGGGCTGCTTCCTTGTGGTGCCGCTGCTCCGTCAGCAGCAGCAAATATTTCTGCTGCTCCCGCTGGAAGCAGCAGGTTTTTTGCTGCCCCCGCAGATGCAGCAGCAGCAGGAACAACAGCAGCAACAGCAGCAGCAGCAGCAGCAGCAAACGTGCCGCCCGCTGGGGGCAGCGAAGAAGAAGCAGCTTATAGCAGCGACGCAGTTGCCGTTCTTACTCATGGAGGAGGCTCCCCCGCAGATGAGGGGCCCCACACCTGCAGCACAATAAACAACGATACCCCGCTGGACGTACACTCCACTGCAGCAGCAGCAGCAGCAGTTGCTGGTGCTGCAGCAGCAGCACCAGCAGCAGCAGCTGCAGCACCAGAAGCTGCAGCAGAAAGTGCAGCAGGTGAGGAAGGTTAAACATGGACAGCAGCAGCAAATGAATGATTGCGCTCTGTACCTGACTGATCTGCATCAACAAGAATTACGGCAGCAGCAGCAGCAACAGCAGCAGCAGCATCAGGGTCTTGAGCTGCTTCTGCTCCTGCTGCTCCTACTGCTGACGGTTGCATGCGTCATTCCGCTTCTCCGTCTTTTAATGCCCCCAGCTGGCAGCCCCGTTGGGGCCCTCAGCTTTTCTTAGGGAGTATTCCTAGCAGCAGCAGAAGCAGCAGCAGCAGCAACAGCAGCAGCAGCAGCAGCAGCGGAAGGAAGAAGATAGGATTTAGTGCTGCAGCAGCCGCAGCAGCAGCAGCAACAGCAGCGAGGAGGCGTGGGAGATGTAGTGAGGAGATAGAGAAGGCTGAAGCGTGGATTTGGTGCTTCTTAAAAACTTCAGGTGTATTAACACCCCAGCTGTACGCATGCCTTCTCTCTCCCGCCCCCGCAGCAGGCGGCGGGTTGGTCTTCTCTAAGCTGCTGCAGCAACCAGCAGCAGCAGCAGCAGTAGAAGTAGCAGCGGGAGCTGCAGCAGCAGCTGCTGCTGCTTGATTGTGGGGTTTGAAGGAACACCTTGAAGGAAGATTCTATAGGTATTGCATGCATACATTTTCTGGCATTGTACCTACATTGGGGCTGCATGCGCTGCATGCGTTTCGATAATTTGCTGCTGACTGAGGGTGGAGGGGAGCAGAGGCAGCACTGTTGAGAAGACAGGCAGCTGCGAAGGAACAAGAAGCAGCAGCAGCAGCAGCAGCAGCAGCAGCAACCGGAGCCGCAGCCGCATGCATACATAACGCATGCATGCATGCGAGGGTTGGCTCGCGGGAGCTTCTGCGTCATGTGGGTTTGAGTGTTGTTCTTCTCTTGGTTGTTTGTTTGTTTGTTTGTTTGTTTGTTTGTTTGTTTGTTTGCTTTCGTCGGTGGAGGAGCTGACTATGACGGAGCAGCAGCAAAGAAGGGAGATGAAGCAGCTAAACTCAGCTGTACATACACCCCAGCCTGATTCTTAATAGAGTTGAGAACAGTGTATTTCGTCGTCTCTCTTTCTTTGATAAGGAAAGCTTCTATATATATTATATATATCTCTATCCTTTTCTATGCATATCTTTATATATTATCTCTATCTCTGTATATATCTTTATATATCTCTATATATATCTACCTATATATATATATATCTAAATCTCTATATATATCTCTATCTACCCCTATATATATATATATCCATATATATATATATATCTTTATCTCTCTTTATGCTTTCTTATTACCTTATTATTTATTAATTAATAGGGGAAGACCTGTTCAACGAACAGGTCGTGAATGTATTTGTTATTATCCTTCCTGGCATACTGTGGGTGTTGTAGCGGTGTTGAAGCCAGAGCTAATCTATATCTGTTTATCTTTCTATTATTACTGCTACTGATTATTATTATTATTACTATTATTATTATTATTATTATTATTATTGTTATTGTTATTTTTGTTATTGCTAGCAAGCCAGCAAACATCAACACTGCTGTACAAGAAAGCAGGTGTATCACCTCCGCATGCAAGACATAACTGGACGCGGCAGCGGTGCGGCGGCGCATGCAAGCAGCAGCAGCAGCAGCAGCAGCAGCAGCAGCAGCGGCGGCGGCGGCAGCAGCAGCAGCGGCGGCAGCGGCAGCGGCGGCGGCAGCAGCGGCGGCGGCAGCAGTAGCGGCGGCAGCGGCA